TTCTTTCAACGGCGTTTTGAGAGCAAAATTTTCTTTGCTTTCATGAAGAAAAGCCTTTGAAGGATCAAAGTGTTTGATACCAAGAACTTTATTCAATTCCTCCTGTAGTTTTGTCTCACTTTGTTTTCTTTTAGCAAGCTGAGAGCGGAGTTTTGACACCTCCTATGTAAGAAAAATATAGACAATAAACAAGAATTAAAGTTCATGTTGGTGAACTGTGTTATCCATGTTACTGACAAATTCCAAAGTTGCTCATCTACCAAACCAAAAGGCAAAAATCACTACTAGATACAGGATTTAAGACTACAAATTAAGGGGCGCCTGAGTGGCTCAGTTGTTAAGCGCCTGCCTTCGGCTCAGGTCATGATCCCAGGGTCCTGAGATCGAGCCCCGCATCGGGCTCCCTGCTCCGTGGGAAGTCTGTTTCTCCCTCTCCCACTCCCTCTGCTTGTGTTCCCTCTTTCGCTGTGTCTCTCTCTGTCAAATAAATAAATAAAATCTTTAAAAAAAACAAAAAACAAAAAAACAAAACAAAACAAAAAGACTACAAATTAAAAATGACTCTGAAGGGCTGTGACAGAGGAGATAATGAGACATTTAAATCTTCTTGCCACTCTACAGTGGCAAACATACAAAGCTGTTTCTCATAAAAGTTCATCTCCAAATGAAATGCAGAGGCCAACCTCTGGCATGACAGCCTCAGAAGCTCCACTAATCTGCTTCCCAGGGAAATTAAAAATTATAAAAAACGCAACCATTTAAAGCCTGTAAAAATGGTCCTAAGGCAAAAAGAAATCTCTATTCAAGCAAATCTAGAAAAATACAGTAAAAAAAGTTAAGGGTCTGTGGTATTTGAACCAACCCTGCTCCTTAGTGAGGTAAAAACCCTACACCAGACAGCTGCAGTGAAGAATATGGGGCCCTCTCTTCCTCCAGCACCCACTCGGAGGCTTTTCCTGCCAGAAGCTGGACATCAGCATTTCTCTTCTCACCCCCAGCTACCTGTTGCTGAGGCCATGTCCCAAGTAAATGTGGCTGAGAGGTGAAAGATCCTTTCTTCCGTAGAACAAAGGGCTCTACCTTAGGAGCTGTGTGCTGAAAATGCTGAGACCCTGATCACCTTTGCCCTGGCTCATAAAGTGATGATTCCATGCTAGGGAGAGAACCTCAGGCTGTTCCCCTTTTCCCTCTCCCCCAAGTCCACCAAGCACTCAGTTCCTAGGCCAGATGTGTCGCTCAGAGAAAAGCTGGTCATCTTCTCCAACTTCAGCTCCAAAACCCTGTCTCAGAGATTTTATCTGGAGGGGAGAAGTGGGCTCTAAAACACATAGCTCCTAATTTCTTGCCAGAGGGGCTGATTTCATTTGGAACAGAATGCTGATTTCACTTGGAACAGAACTGAAAGAAGTTCAAGCTGGAAGAACAGTAGAGCTGGTGGTGTAAGGGAACTGGGAGGTGATTCAAAATATAGGCTAAATGGTAGGTTTAAAACTGGTGAATAAGACAGCTGGGAGGAGCCCTTCTGGAGTCAGAACATAATCATTGACCTCAGACACAATTCCAATGGAAGAGCCAGAATTTACTTGGGTTAGTTTGTAGAGCAATTATACTCCAAGGCACTGCTGAAAATAACAGAGCAATAAGCAACTAGTTATCTAGCAACTAGCAGTTTAACAAGTGATCAGGGAAACAGAGGAAGACAGCCTTACCAAAATCAGTGTCATGCCAGGGTGACTGTGGGCATATTCTAAACTGAACCTCCCTGAGTAGCAACATCAGAGGCACAACACTACTGGGAGTGGAGAGAAGGAATAGAATTCACTAGCACAATCCAGCCAATTACTAAACAAATTGACAAGAAAATAACAACGGACCTGGAAGGAGAGGGCTATAACCAGAAGTGCTATAATATGTAATCTAAAATATCCACTATCTGACAAAAATGTACAAAGACACAGGAAAGCATAACCTATACGTTGGAAAAAAGCAGGGAACAAAAACTGCCTGCAAGAGTAACCAGATATTGGACTTATCCAAAAAAGATTTTAAAGTAGCCATTATAAATATATTCATAGGGTGGCGCCTGGGTGGCTCAGTCGTTAAGTGTCTGCCTTCGGCTCAGGTCATGATCACAGGGTCCTGGGAACGAGCCCCGCATCGGGCTCCCTGCTCTGCGGGAAGCCTGCTTCTCCCTCTGCTGCTCCCCCTGCCTGTGTTCCGTCTCTCCCTGCCTCTCTCTCTGTCAAATAAATAAATAAAATCTTT